CTCAAAGTGGTCCATTTGGTAAGGAGAATGTACTTGTGAGTACCTAGTTTAACTTTGCTCCCATATTTGTATTTCACATATTTGTTGGCATTTGAGATACTGTCTAAGATATGCTGATTGTGAAAAATTGTTTTCATCATGCAGAAAATGACACTCTGCTCTCTATCTTCTACCATACACAAGCTCTGCACCAAATGTGCCATAGACCTGATACCCTGAAAATGCCAAAAGACACAGTAGAGAAAATACTCCCACTGCTAAGCACAGGTAAGGATTTTCTTAATAGGACTCTTATCCAATAGTAAATGAGACCAAAAATCAACAAATAGGATCTCATGAAATTAAGACTTTTTATTTCAGCATAAGAAAATATAATTCAAGTGGTAGCATACAGAATATGAGAAAATCACTAGGGTAATAGTGGCATGAGTGTTATTGGGTAATTAACTTCCTTCTGATCTGGTGAGGCCTGGACTATAGGAAGGAATTAGTACCTGCTACTGTGTACCTGGTTAAAAGACACTGGCTGGACAGGTCATAGTCCTTTAGATGATGATACTATTGTTACTTAGTGTACTAGCAACTGCTTTGTAAATATTTTTGTTTTACACATAGATCTCTTCAGCTCAGTCTTGGCCAGGATGTCAACTTATATTTGTACATGAAGTCTGTGAATCTAAGTTCTTCAATAAACATTCTTCTGTGTGTCTCTTTTGAGGCCTTGATTGACTGTAAATCATCGAGTGAAATTGAGGTCTGGGATCAGTGTGCCTCAAGGTTCCCTCTAACTACCAAATATGTTAATGATGTCCATTTGCTTTCAACTGTAAGGGAGCCTTCAGCTCAATTGATAACAATTCAGGTGTTTCTGGCTCCCTTTTGGTTAGGGTGTTGGATGAAGAAGAGAATATTCTGCCCACACATCCTTAAAGTTCAGGGCTTCTGAGTTTAATTCTTGCTCAGTAGGCTGCAGGTCTCCACTGATAGCAGTTTATGGTCAGGATGTTGCTTCTCTTGGATTGCCTGGTCTCCTTTCACACAGGGCTTGCTCCTTGGCTACTTGATATCAGGGTTTGGCCTAGGAAGAGTTCTTCATTGTGGTTGGAGCAGCTTCCATTTAAATTGTCTCTTCAAACTGTGCTTCTAGGGTCAACATTAAGTCTGACCATGTTTCTCTCATTGGGTTGGCAGGAGCTCCCTTGATTTTAGAGTTTGTGGTTTATCTTCATGAAGGTCTATTGTTGGCCTGTAACATTTCCACTTTTGATTTTGTCTGGCTTGTTCTATGAGTTTTGTATGAGATCTGATTTTTTCCCAGTCAAAATTTTTCCCAGACCTGCTTCTTCATTTGGTCCTTGGAGAATGTCCCCGGTCGTCCTTTCTCCCTGTTTTGGTTCATGCTTTTGTCAGGGTAAGTGTTAGCACTCTTGCATTTTCCCACTTTGCACCCCCCCCCGGCCTCTTTCATTTGAGGGATTGGTCTGGGCCCACGTCCTTCCTATTTTGGCCCAGTCTTCTTCAGGGTCAGAGGTATGCTGAGGCCAACTTCTCATCTTGGTGAAGGCCCTGGCTTCAGTTCAGGTAAAGTTGGGGCATGGATACTCTCCTTCCCTTTCTTTGAGCCAGGTCTTTTTCTTCTGAGGGATAGTGTAGGACTCATCTCCCTCTTGGTTGGGGCCAGCCTTCTTCAGGGTCAAGGTTAGGCATGGGTGTTCTTTTATTTTCTTTTTGTTTCACTTCATTTTGTTACTTTTCCTTCTTCTCCTTTGCCCTTGGCTCTTCCATTTAATGGACTGGTCCAGGGATACCTCTGTTTTTCCTCTGAGCCAGAGCTTATTCAGCTTCAGGTTTTGGTGAAGGCCTCTTTTAGGTCATGGTTTGGCCTTTCATTCCTAGGGTTGGTCCCTGGCCTTTCTGGGTGAGGTAAGCCATTGCTAATGTAGGCATTATTTCTGGTCTTCATCAGGTTCATCCTTAGGCCTTGGAATACTTCTGTCTTGACATCATGGTTTAATGTTTAATCCTGGTCTACTTTCACTTTAGGTGCTTAGCATGGGTCTTTTCAGGGGCCATGTTGGCATGGGGTACTTTAAGGGTGTGGCTGTGTCCAGGCATTTTTTGTGTTAGAGTTAAGCCTGGTTATATTGATATACTGGACTATTGGTACCTGTTTCTCTTCAGGGTTGAAGCAGCAGATACTTTAGAGTGGAGATTTGACTGGAGCTACTTTGTATTTGTAATTAGCCTTGGATTATGCTCAGCCTTTCTGAATAAAAATAACATGTGGATATTGATAGAGGACTGTATTTATTGTTCTTCTCTTACATCTCAAGTATATTCTGAGGAACATTGGCTCTTTCCAAGGGAAATGGGCACAGACACCAACACAAAGCACAGACTCCAGATGAAATAAACTACATATTACACAAATAGAAAGGGGAAGTAGGGAAGAGACAGTGGTGCTTGGGAGAGTTCTTGCTGTTGCATTAGTGACTGTGGCCATGGTAAAGAGGCACCATGAGCTCATGTGGAAAATTGTTGCTTCTCAATAAAGATAAGAAAATAGAGTCCCAACAAGGTCCCTGCTGCCTTTCCTTCCGTGATCTGCTCCCATGAAGGGATATCACTGGGAGTTAATATAAAAACAGAGGCTGGTCCTCCATTGATCTAGATGTTGCCTTGATAGGCACATGAGGATTGTACAGATCTTCATGGGGCCTCTTATGCAGTGTGGGCATGGTGTCCTCTCCTGTATGTCATTCATGGCATGCACTATGAGGGTGTTCCACAGGTCCTTGCTATGGAAACACTTCTCAAAATGTCATTTGTCTTCTACCTTGAAAATCCCTGGAACAATGAACCATGCATTCGTGATATCTTTCAAGAAATCTCCTTGTCATGTCCACACACTGATGTGAGATCAGGTCTTCCCACAAAAATGTCTGCACTGACTTACCAGAAATTGATTCCTGCTCATGTTATTATTGTTGTGAATCACAGCCAACTTTAATAGAGTGAGCTGCCAACCTGTCAAGGGCACACATGAAACCAGGACAATGATTCCTTGTGTAGTGTCACAGAGGCCAGGCCACACTCTGCTCAGGGAAGCACATAGGTGGTGAAGCTATGCAGATGTCTTTGGACTAGTAATTAGGGGAGGTGCCTGAGGCTTCAGTTATCACCATTGCTTGGGGACAATTTCCCATCCAATCATCATTTCCTACTACAGAACTTCACTGCTGAGAAGAGGAAGGTCATTGGGGGAAAGGTCAGACTCAGTCCATATGTACACGGTTCAAATATTGGTCTATCATTTCTGATGCTCAGTTTATCATGAAGAGTGTCTCATTATGAAGCTTTTATTGTGCCATATGCAGTACCTGGGTCTTTAGGGAACAGAGCTTTTGAAATGTGCCCTCCAGCCTGGCCCTTCACCATCATTAAACACACCTTGAAGTGGGATTGACCAGAAAGCAGAAAGCCATGAGGCTTTCCTTACCTCCTCTCATCATGGTAGTTGATGACTTCTGAGGCTGTCACTCACTGGATAGCAGTGTAACAGCAGTTTATCCTGTCCCATTTGGAAAGTGGAGTCCTGGGACAGGTGCTGCCTCTGCCTCAGCTGTTTTCATCTTTTCTAAGAAACACAAGTGGAGATTAGGAATAGAAAACAATGGACATATCCCACTCTGGGCATACCCCTTCCCAATCTCCCACTGTCCTTTGCCTTCATGCCTCTCCCCTTCCCTGAATGTTTATCCCTGAAGGCTGGTCTCAGATTTCCAGCAGTAATTCTTACTCAGGGTCCTTAATTGTTGGGTTTCCTTTTTATTCTTCTTTTCCATGGATGCTTTTTTTTCCTGCCCTAACATGACATTTGAAGGACAATGGGAAGGAGGCATCTTAGAGATATGAGGAGTTAGTCAAGGTATCACAGTGTTCCATTCCTCTATCTTATTGTGGATGGAAACCTACACTTATGAATTGTGGCATGCAAAACGAAAGAAAGCAAAACTGAATTAACATCTTTTTCTACTGGTCCTCAACCAATCAAATCTCAGTTATAAAAGAAAAACTGTGGGGAAATTCTTCCTGTGATTTCTAGATGAAGTGTAAGCATTGTGCTACCCTCAAAGCCTAACAGAATTTAGGGAGGGTGGCCTCAAGGCTCAGAGGTTAAGAGCACCAACTGTTCTTCCAGAGGTCCTGAGTTCAATTCCCAGCACCCATATGGTGGCTGACAACCATCTGTAATGAGATCTGGTACCCTTTTCTGTGTACATAACAAATAAATAAATAAATAAATAAATAAATAAATAAATAAATAAATAAATAAATAAACAAACAAACAAATAAATAAAATAATCCAGCTATCTAATCACAGAGCTTGAAATCCTTTTCCTGTCTGCAGCAGCAGAATCTGGAAGAAGAGAAGTTACACAGTTGCCCAGCAGAGATGCCCCTTTGCTGTCTCAGCCTGGATGCCTTTGGCAACAGTTGCAGTAGGAACAGCCCACCTGGAAGTCTTCCTGTCAGCATCATTGGAACCTGGGCACCCACAATTTCCTGCTCTTCACCAAATTCTTGATAGCCAGTAAGCATAGTTAGACTTACTTAATGGGGGTGATTTCCTCTAATCTGAAAGTGCAGTGGAGGAGGAAGGAGAAACTGAAAACTTATCTGTGCTTGGTGTCAAATGGTATCTGAGGGACTTAACATGTGACATAGATTGTAGATATCCACCTAAGAAAGATCCTGAAACATCGACACGTTGTTAGTAACATCTTAGACAACATCAGTGCTCTAGAAGCATGCAAGTTCCATGCACAGAGTGAAGCATGATCAAGCATGCCCCACCCCACTGTAATAGTGCTACTACCCCATCATAAATGATGAAGGCACCATCAGTGTTGTGCAACAATACACACATGCTTGTTTCCGTACAACACACACAAATATGTGCCCACATTCATACATTTAAGAACATGTATGTGTCTACACCTTTGCATGCACACAGACACATAGACACAGACACACACACACACACACGCAGAATAATACTTTGAATTCCAATTAGATATACAATAAATTGGCACAACAAGAAATTAAATATAAACAAGCAACCTTTGTGGCATTGGTATGCATGTGTATGGTATGCATGTTGTATACAGAACTATGAGTATAGTTATGTGCATATTTTTATAAGTATCTATATGATATACCTAATATGTACAAACATATCTAACTGCATATACATGCGTATATAAATATAAAGATAAACTGAAATCCCAACTCCCAGACACCAGCCAAGGAAGCAGCAGAACTTTCTGAGTGGCTGGCCTGATGTGTCAGCTGTTTCCTGCCTTCCACTCTGAGTGGCTATTATGTTTATTAACAGTATCATTCATTTGAAACAAAATTCTGCACAAAATTTTCACATAGTCTTTTAATATTAAAATATTCTCTAACTTTCAGAACCACAAGAAAACCCTCTAAGGCAGAAAGCCATGAGTCGATCATGAAAAGTACCAGGAAGGGCCAATGAGATGGGTAGCTGTGTGGAAGGAAAGAGCTGATTCCTCCTAATTTGTTCATTGACCTCCATATGAACAGAATGACAAAATGGCATGGCATGTATTGTATGTTCATTCTCTCTCTGTTGTACAGATGTATTTATTTCCTCATCACCAAATAAGTAGATAGATAGATGTTATTATTTTAAATACCAATCAGAATTCTATACACTTATCATATGATATAATTAATTTTTTAATATAACAAAAAAAATCTCATACAGCTCACAACTGTTTGTAACTCCAGGACCAGAGGAGTTGACAGTCTCACACAGGCATACATAAAGGCAAAACACCAATGAACATAAAATAGTGAATAAACAATTAAATATTTGTAGGAGCTAGTGTGGTCAGGAGCCCCACAATCATCCCACAGAACTAACTAACCTAGGCTCATAGTGACTCAGAGACTGAACGACCAACCAGGGAGCATGCAGGGGACTGACCTATGTCCTCTCCATGTATTTTACAATTGTATAACTTGATCTTCTTGTGAGACTCCTAACGGTGGGAGCAGGGCTTGTCTCTAATGCCTGCTTTTGGGACCCATTCCTCCTACTGAATTCCTGTGTCCAGCCTTAATGTAAGAACTCATGCCTTGATATAACATGGCAGGCACTTATGCACAGGATGTCTGCCCATTTCTGAAGAGAAAAAAAAAGGAGGAACGGATGGGGAGCAGGAAGAGTAAAGGTTGGGAGAAGGACTGAGAGGAGAGGATGGAGGGGAAATTTTGGTTAGGATGTAAAAACAAAAATAAAGAAATAAATAAAACCAAATTTATTCCAAAAGAGGGAGAATATTGATGGTCATCATATTTAAATTTGGGATACTAAAAGAATGTCCCTCCAGAGATATTGCCACTTATTCTAACTTTATAATGTGTTTGCAGTTGTACAGAGATTGCTGGGGATGTCTTTCTGTATGCTGTGAATGTGTTCCTCTGAGTGATTGATTAAAAAAAACCAAAACAGCTGGTTGGACAGTAGCCAGGCAGGAAGTATAGTCTTGGCAGGATAAGCAGAGAGGAGAATGCTGGGAGTGGAAGGCTGAGTCAGGAGAAGCCACTGCCATCATGAGAAGTAAGATGTAAAGTACCGGTAAGCCACAAGCCACATGGCAACTTATAGATTAATAGAAATGGGTTAATTTAAGACATAAGAACTAGATAGTAAGAAACCTGCCACAGCTATACAGTTTATAAGTAATATAAATCTCTGTGTGTTTACTTGGGTCTGAGCGGCTGCAGGAGCTGGGTGGACACAGGAAAACTCCAACTACACTGGATAATTAAACCATATTAGGCATAATTTTGAGCTGGTCTAATACATAATGCCTTTGTGTTGTACTTGGAATAATTATATCATGTTTAGGCAATAATAAGACATGGTTATTGTTTTACATTGAGAAATTAGTCATGACATCAAAAGATATAATTGTGTGTCAAGTTGACAAGGGTGCAGTTGTGAGAGTTATTTTTGTTTGTCAAATTTATTACATCTGAAATTCATTAAAACCCCAAAATGGAGGGGCATGCCTGTGAGGTACTTTTGCTTAATTTGAGGAGAGAAGAACCACATGTAATCCTGATCTTTGCATTAGAAAGACATTCCGTTAATCTGGATATTAATGGTGAAAGAAACACCTATAACTCAGATATTTTGAGCCCCAAAACCCCACTTGTAATCTTAGGCAGGCCTTGTGCTGGAAGCCCATATAAAGAAATGGAAGAAGGGAGTTTTGCTCTTTAGCTGCTTGCTTTCACCTTGCTAGCAAGTCCATTCCTTCACTGGCATTGGAGCCAACTTCCTTGGGATTCCAGACTATACTGCTGATGGGCTGAGACATCAAGATAGTAGTCTGAGCAACTCCTGGATTTAAGGACGTTGGATTATAGCCATCCAATGTTCAATTAGTTGGACCACAGCCTCTAAGTCATTCTAAAACATAGCCTTTTGTATATCTAGAAATTCATTCTGTTACCCTATAAAACCCTGACCAATGAACCAGACAGGTATAGAATTTTTAGAGTAGTTTGGGCCTGACAATAGCTCTGAGTCCCATGGCTGGGAAATCCTTGTGCAGCTCAAGAATCCTGGAACTTACTGAGATACATCAAAGCCTGTGAGTTCAGGGGTTACAGGAGTGTGAAACCTCACCTGCCTAAAGAAGAGTCTCAGAGTGAAGTTTCAAATTGCATTTTATTCATAAAACACCTTCATTTTATTCAATGGGCGCTTTCAAAACAGCAGTCCTTATATTCAGTGTATAGCCTTAGCAAACTATTAAAACACTGACAAGAATATAAGAAATAACAAAAATTAACAAAACCTTAAACCAAAATGAAGAACACCAAAATCCAAAGCATAAATATCCCAACATATAAACAAAAAATTTAAGCAAATTTCAAGATCACTTAGAATTTCATTAGGGGAGAGCAAATGAGGTGAGGAACTAGCTTATTCTCCGCAGTGAATTATCTTCAGCAAAACTTGCACATGACATGGCTTCA